TCCGCCCCTCCCCGCTCCACTTTAACCGTTATTATTATTATTATTTTATACATATATACATGTTACTATGAATATAAATTTACGTATTATTGAATGATTATTTTTTTTTTTGAAATTTTTTTTTTTGATTTTTTTTTCATGCTTTTAACTTGTAAAAGTGTATATCTTTGTATTTTTATATTTTTTTTATGTTAAATTATGTTAAGTTATATTATGTTGTGTTGGATTTATATGAGAGACAAATTTTTAATTATATTATATTAGATTATGTCGTAAATGACAAGCTTTTATGTTACGATATTTTAGAATTATGTTAGATTATTTAGACTGTTAAATTTATTTAGAATTTTGGATTATATTGACTTAGNTGAAATTGTTTTTATAATCCATAAATAAAATCATCAAGTTATTATTCATATCAAAAATAAATCATTACTGTATGAAAACTTATAGTTCTCAAAAAAATTTAAAAAATTCAAAACCCAAGTTAATCAGCAATTAAAAAAAAAATAAGTGATCAATACAAAAAAAATAAGATATCAATTGCACCAACAAAAAATGTTCAAAACCAATCTAATCAATTTGTGTTGAAATTATTCAAACATTCTATCTTTGTTTGTTAAAATTTTATAAGTAATATATTGTCTTCAGGCACGGACAAATGACTAGTATATTTATATTTGGTACTCGTCAGATGTACAAATATATTTTAATTATTTTATCTTTAATTAATTTAATTTATACCTATATTAAATAATACAATTATCTTTTACATCATTAATCTCTTATCCGCCTTTTCAAATCCACCCTCCCGTAAGTTTGACAAAATTTCTATTGGCCGGATTGGGAAATCAATGACTGATTTTTCTAAACAACCATAAAATTTAGAAGAATCTTAGATTATTTTTTCAAAAACTATCTTGCCAAACCCTTATACCCTTTACCAAACAGCCCCTGAGTCTGTTTCATTGACGTGGTGTTTGGACCACGGGATAAAGAGAGTTAAAAGAAAAAGAGCTAATTATCTTTTGCCTTCCTGTGGGTTGGAAGGTTTGCGCTTTACCACCCTAGACGTTCGATATTATACTCATAATCCCCTGGAGATTTTGGACCAGAGTGAAAAATGTAATACAGTTAACAAATAGAAGAAAATGACAATTTATCCCTTCTTCCTCCTCCTTCCCCAGTTCGTTTCCTCACATGTATGGATATGTAAATAGAGAGAGAATATATAAATAAAATCTACTTCCCTCCAAAATGGCTCTTAAACAAAACTTCTCTATCTAGTTATAGCCAAATCAATATTGAGTAGCAATAATCATCCAGTGAAGAAATAGGTAGCTAAAACCATATCTATAAGCGGGGGAGAGANTCTCTAGTTATAGCCAAATCAATATGAGTAGCAGTAATCATCCAGTGAAGAAATAGGTAGCTAAAACCATATCTATAAGCGGGGGAGAGAGAGATAGAGAGAACAGACCACAAAATTGAAATGGGTTCATCTTGACTCCAAGCAACAGCTTTTTTTGAAGCCTTGATAGATTAGTTTCAGTTCACCAAAGCAGTACCCAACAATTTATACCCAAGCTGCCAACCTTTTTTGAACTTTCTTCTGCAAATTCGATATGCGAAGAAAAAGAGAAAATTGCCAACGTTGCTGCGTTTGTTCCCTGCATGTAATCGCTGTTGAAAGTCATCGCCTCTGAGCTTCCCCAAAGGCCTCATCGCTACCAACGGCTGTGATCCTAGGCTCGTGTCGGTTGAGTAGGATGGCAGTAGATTTGGTAAAAATTAGTATTCATTCAAATTTGTTTTGTTCGGATTAGAGATCGATCATATGTATTGAACAGTTGACGTATTATATAAACTCGTGCGAGGACGCAGGCGATGATAGATTGACACTTATCCTCGTTCCGCCCCTCCCCGCTCCACTTTAACCGTTATTATTATTATTATTTTATACATATATACATGTTACTATGAATATAAATTTACGTATTATTGAATGATTATTTTTTTTTTTGAAATTTTTTTTTTTGATTTTTTTTTCATGCTTTTAACTTGTAAAAGTGTATATCTTTGTATTTTTATATTTTTTTTATGTTAAATTATGTTAAGTTATATTATGTTGTGTTGGATTTATATGAGAGACAAATTTTTAATTATATTATATTAGATTATGTCGTAAATGACAAGCTTTTATGTTACGATATTTTAGAATTATGTTAGATTATTTAGACTGTTAAATTTATTTAGAATTTTGGATTATATTGACTTAGACTTGGGCAGGTAAGGTGGACAGAGGCG